GGGTCTGTGCTTTGCCTTTTAGTGGTGTTCTCCGCCGGCAAATGTGGTGGTTTGGGCTCCCCCTGGTTCGATTCTGGGTTCCTTTGGGTTCCTTGGTTTCGTTCTGGAGGTTTCTTCCTCTTGGGCCCCCTTTTGTGGGTTCAGGGGACTTTGTTTCCTCGTGTGACCCGGTTCTGCCTTTTGGGGTTCCGGGGTCTTCCTGGCTTGCAGACTGAGCTTTTTGGGTCTTGGCACATGTTGTGGTTGTGCTGGGACTTTGTGGTTTTGCTGTCGAGGTGGGCCTTTTGATGCAGTTTTGTGCCTTCTTTGCCTGGCCGGCGTAGTGCTCTTTGCCACTAGTCGGCGGCTTGTGCTTTTACAATATATGTCCTCACCTAGTTGTGCTTGTGGGGGTTGAGCTCTGGCTCCTTGGTCCTGCCTCTCAACCGTCCGTCAACAGGTGTATCGGTTCCTGTGCCCCTTGGGCTCTGTCATGTCTACATGTGACATTGTATGGGGGTCAGCCTCGTTACTTGTGTGAGGAGTCGCCACATTACTTCTTAGTGCTTTCCCGTTCCCATTCTGACACAAAAAAAAAAAAAAAAAAAAAAAAACTTTCCTTCTATCTGTGGCTCTTTTGGGTACTCAGTTTCCGCCTGTGTCCCCTAGTGCGTGTGCCCCTTGTGTTACATAGCCTGTCCTTCTCAAACCTGTCGATTCCCTTGGGTATCTTGTATGTGGTGATCAGGTCTCCCCTCACTTCCTCTTCCAGCGAAGTGTGGTTTCATTCCCGTAGTCTCTCCTCATGACTTCGGTAGTGTACTTTTTCCTTCTGAAGGGGTTCTGTTCCCTTCTCTGTTGACTGGGCGCTGGGGGAGCAGCTTGCTCTGTTGCCTCTCGCTTGGTCCCGCTGTTGGTGGGCGCTTTGGGTTGTCTTCCGGCCTCTGCTGGCGTCGGAGGACGGCTTCTCCCCCTTGGGGGGGGTTCAGAGCTGGCGGGGTGGGCTTCTTCCCTGCGCTTCGTCATTTCTTCTTCGTGGGTGCGTGGGGCGTGGTCGATCCGCCCCATCCTTCTGGGCTTCCCGTCTGCTCTTTGCAGTCATGGGCTTTTCCCGTCTGCTCTTTGCAGTCATGGGCTTTTCCAGTCTGCAGTTCTTCTGGACTACTTCCGTCTGCGCCCTGGATCCTCTGCCCTGCTCGGAGGACTGTTGTCTCCTGTTCGGATTCTGTTAGGGCCGGGTGCATGGATGGTGGACCTGGACCTCCAGGTCACTTCTTGGCACGTTCCTCTCCAGTTTTTCTGGGGCTAGCACGGTTGGTAATTCCCTATGTGTACTTACCTAAGTGTAGTTACAGGATGAGAGCTACTCTCGTGGTGTCCTTTCTTCCCAGCACTTTGTCATATAATGCTTTGATTATAATTGTCATATTGTCATATAATGATTGTCATATGTCATAATGTCTTAATATGATTGTCAATGCACTGCTTTGGTGGTGGGGCTTCAGGTTTGCTGTTTTTATTGCATTCCCTATTTTGTGAAGGGCACTTTGTATACTCTTTGCATCTTTACCGGATCTTAGTGCCCTGTCTGCGTCTGAGATTCGGTGTCTGGCCTACCTCGACGACTGGCTGGAGTGGGCTCCCAGTCAGTCCGCTTGTCTGCTCGCCAGGGGTTGGTTCTTTCCAGATCGCTGGGTTTGGTTTCCTGGTGATCTGGAGGTTTTCCCTTCTGTTTCCGTCCCGGGTTCGGACCTGGGCCTTGTTTCAGGCTCTTGGGCCCCTCAGTCTTCCCTCCAGAAGTGTTACTGTGGCTGTGGTCCCGCCTTTGGCTGTTCAGGCTCACAGCCCGGTTCAGGTGTTCCTGGCTGTCTGGTTTGCGCTTCGGAGGGTTTGGGTCACTAGGTACTCTACCATTCAGCTCTGTTTGGACTGTTCTCTGGTGGTTCTTGCCGGAACCACAGGGGGTTTGGTTCACCGTGTGGTTCGTGTCCGGGGTGTGTCCTGCGTCCTGGTGGACAGCTGTCTCGGTTCATTCCTCTTCGTGGGTTGGCCAGTCGTCGCCGATTCGTTTTGTTAGCTCTGTTGGGCTTATGGACTCCTGGCCATGGACGTCTTCGGGTCGGCGTGGTCTAGGCGTCGCCCGTTTTGTGGCGCCCTTCCCACTTGCGAGGACTTCCCGGTGGAGGCTTTTGGCAGGCCTGGTCGAGGTGGGGGGTACCTGTACCTCTTCTCCCGGTCCAGCTGTCGCTTCGGGTTCTGGCTCGGTTGCAGCCCATTCCCACGAACAGTCCTTATGGTTCCACGGTGGCCGGCCCGGCCTTCTTTTCAGATGCTGCTTGATAGGTGTCCGTACCCGGGGCGTTTTTCCTGAGGCTTCGCCTCTTTCAGCAGGCCGAATCGGTCCTGTCCGTGACTGGTTCGGCCTTCTCTTTAGCTCTTCGCGTCTGGTATTTTGACGCAGGTATCGCCATCTCTATGGTGTTCAGGTGGCTTTGTTGACGGTGTCCCACCTGCGAGCTTCGTCTTGGAGACTGTATGACGTTTATTACGTTTTTCTCGCGTTTTGTTTCCCCTCCGGCCTGCTCATGAGTCGCCTGAGCCATCCTGGTCTTTGTTCAGGGTGCCTTCTTCTCTTCCCCTCAGTTTGTGGTAGCCCCTTCGGTTCCAGTTTCCTCCTCTTTGGTACTGGTGGTTGCTTTATTGGTGTGCAGCCTTTCTCTGTCCTGGCGACGGTCGAGACGGCTGCTTTCCGGAGGGGTTCTTGGGGTATTGGTACTGGTTTGGTTTGGCCGGGGGGTGCGTCCTGTGTTGTCCAGTTGTGCTTTTTGCTGTTGCCGGCGTACCGTGCCTGGGGATGCGCTGTGGTTGATCCGGTTCCTTCGTTCCCTGTTTTCAGGGCTCGGGTCTCCCGGGTCGTCCGCAGTGTTTTCCTTCTTCCTGCGGTCTGTCTTTGCGCCCGTGCTGTTCAGACGTTTGCAGCAATTGCTGCTGTGTTGGTGACGTCTCGGGCTCATTTCGGGCGCAGGGAATTGTGGGTCGCACAGGTTTTTGGCCGCCCATCCATATGTGCGTCTGTTCTTGGGCGTTCTTGTTGCCTTGGGTCACAGGTTTGTGACCGGTTGTCTTGGCTTTGCGTTGCAGAGTTTGTGGCGGCCGCCTCCCGGGTTAGCCCTTTCTTTTCCTTCTCTTTGGGTATGAAGCTCCAGGGAGCCGTAGGGGCTCCCCACAGAAAACCAGCGTTGAATGTAATGAAACGCCATTTTCTGGGTGAGCCCCGGAGGCTCCCTGGAAACCCTCCCTCCCACCGGTCGGCGTTTTTTTTTCGCGTTGGTTGAAGCTTAGCTTCCGAACTGGAGCTTGGCAGCCGGCGCGGTAGGTCCGGGGCTCCCCCCTCCCCCTCCCGGGGTGGGGAGGGCTGCGCGGACGATCGGCGCGGCAGTAAAGTGTGATGTTTGCTTGTTTGCTTGTTTCCTTGGGATTGTAGGGAGTTTTCTACCTCTCTGTTCGGTTTTTGTTGTAGTTTCTTACCATGTGGGGTTTGTTTTGTTACGCCTACCTTTCTGGGTGCCTAACCCCGGTCGATGGCAGATAAGGAAAACCCCCAACCATATGGGGTTTTCCAGGGCCATTGCTCCCTGAAACCTCTCTGAAGGGGCCAGGTTCTGGCGCTGGTCCCTGGTAGGTCTGAACTCCTTAGCTAATGTCCCGGTCTAACATAACATACATTAGCCCGATAAGCTCCAGGGAGCCTCCGGGGCTCACCCAGAAAATGGCGTTTCATTACATTCAACGCTGGTTTTTTAAAAATTTCTTTCTGCCTCTCTCCTCACTGTCATGTAGTTGTTTCTCGCATCTTTATATCGCTGGTATGTTTGGAGGTTTGGCCTCTTCCTGTATTGATTTCATATTTGTGTCTTATGGTCTCCGGCCCTCTCTCAATTTCTGTTGAACCAATCCTGTTTCCTAGTTCTGCTTCTCTGCTTTGGTATATATTTTGTTGTCTTTATCATATATTTCACAAAACTTGACATACATCTCATTTACTTCATGTCTTAACAGCAAGTCTTTCCAATCAAATTCCTTAAAGAAATGTCCGAGTTTCCCATAATGACCTCTCCTGAAATCAGGCTTTTCAACTGTTTCAACCTCATTTTCTTCCAGATTATAACACATTGCATACTTTATTCCCAAAAAGACATGGTTACTTTTACCCAAGGGAGGGAGGTACTGTACTAAATGTCAAATATCTCTTCTTCTTTCCTTCTATCCAGCCTGAAAGGAACATCCCCCTTCCCTCATCCTTGTAGCTTGTTTAACGTGTTGATACAAGAATGTTTCCAGGATGAGGTTTACGAATCTACAAGTCCAAAAATCCTATTCTAGTTTCATATGCCTCCCACTCTATGGATTTCAAGTTGAAGTCGCTGACTACCAAAAGTTGTGATCTATCTTTGTCAGCTCTTGCTATTGTCTCTCTCATTAGTGTTATAAGGTCCTCTTGTTTATTATCCAGCTCCTCCTTTGTCCATGTGTTGCATGGCAGTGGACTATATGTATTTATGATTATTAGTTTATCATCCTGATTGCAGATCTCCAGTGCTATTATGTCAACTTCTCATGGATTAACAATCATTATTTTGATTACCTTTACGTGTTCTTTTACCACACAGCCACGCCACCACCTTTCCTAATTTTTCTGTCCCATCTCCAAACTGAGTAGCCCCTTGAGAATATAACCTCATTTAAAATATCATCTTCAAGTTTTGTCTCTGTGAGTGCAGCAATGTCTGGCGACTGCAGCTGTATTACAACACTTAACTCCAGTATCATTGATCTCACTCCATCTATGTTTATCCATGTTTATCCATGTTGTTTGTATATCCATCTTAGTGAAACAGCTTTGGTGTGGTGGAATTAGTTATGACAACTTGACAGTTAATTTATATAAGAATAAATTAGTATTTACAGTATTCTCAATTTAGGAAAATTAAACACTGTAATGTTATCTGCATTTTCCTCAGAATCAACAGTTGGCTGCGATTCAGAGACGGGGGTGTACAGTCGCCCTTCAATGTATTACTAACTATTTTGGGAAAGATTTGCCACAGAAGATACCTCAGTTGTGGGACCTGATATGCAATCCTTTCAAGAGTGGTGTTGACTGTGACCCAGCACTAGAGATGGCTCAGGAGGCTGTCAACTGGCTGCAGCTCTTGGAGGTGGTTGTGCCAGCTCTCCATTCCCATCTGGTCTCTCAGGTCACTATTTCTTCCTATATTGTATCATTCGTCAGCTATTAGTATACAATTGGCATGGATATATATATACAGAGGAGCTCGTGAGTTGCGAACTTAAGTTATCTGAAAGTTCCAGTTTCATGATCGGGGTTGGGGTTTCATGCGTCCCAAACTAAGTTTAGAAAGCAAGGAAGCGGTCTGCCAGGCCTCGCGCCGGCCTGAGGTGGTTAGATGGCCTAGTTTGCCCACTGACCGTGTCGGGTGCCATGAGAAACCATTTCTGTCCTGCCCAGGACTCGAACCCAGACTTCCTGATTGCGAGTCAAAAAGGAACCCAATTGTGGACCAACAATATGCTGCTTTAACCCGTTCACTGCGCACTTGTTTTAGGCAAAAACTTAAACGGGCAATTGTTAAGGACATATTTTTGTTGTTTTTATAAATGTTCAGGTAAAGTTAATGTCAAAATTTTTCCAAACTAAACTATTTTCATTTCAAAACACAGAGTAATGAAAACATTAAAAAACATTAAAAACATTAACATATAGCCTAATTAAAAAAAAATGAACAACTCTCAAAACTATATTTGTTGGCTGGCGCAGTTGAGGGGGGTTAAGCAAGCAAAAATAAATCATAATATATCAATCTTATTTTTATATATGCTATAAAGATGATAGAGAGGATGGATATAGTACAGTATTTTGAATTATTCCCTGGAAGTTATTCCTGTATTGCTATCCTAAAAATTTATACATATCTTTTCTTTATTTATGCAGTTTTAATTATCCTCAAGATGTCTAATTGTTTTCATATTACTTCTATGTCTGTGTGATATCTGGAGAATGCTTTTGTTTAGCACCTGGACATTTCAACACAGTGGTATGGTACAATGGTAGCCACTCTTGTTGAGTCAAGTAGCAGAATTTAGAAGCAATTTAACACATTAGTGGTATGACTGATCCCTCTTTGTTGGTGTATTCCCTACTGCTAGGAAACAGTCATAGTGAGATAGTAGTAAGTAGTGCCCTTGGGGCTTGGGGCCACTTTTCAAAGGTCACCTTGGGGTCTACATCCTCAAGGTCTTATGCTGCTCGGTGACTAACTGCCCTTGAGTCAGCTTGGGTGTTTCATGCACCACTGTTTGCCTCTGGGTAGGGGGTAGTTTCATCACTGGTTGGGGCGCAAGGTACTGTGCAGCTAGTTTTCATCTCTCATAGCGGCTGGTTCTGTTCCACCTGGGCACGTTGTCCTCTTGTGGGGTTTTTCTTTTATTTTTGTTTTCCTGCCTGGTTGGGGGTCTGGGTCCAAACCAAAAATCACCAAACCAAGGGTCTGCCCCTTGGTTTGGTCCCACACATTTCTATCTTGGTGGTCCTCCACTAGGCCCCTGTGAGTGCAAACGTCCCAGAGGATCAGCTATAGCAGTTTGTTTGGTAACTTTGGGTGCCGGTTACCAGTACCCTGCCTGGCTTCCCTTAGCAAAATTACATGACCAAGGGTCCTGGGAAACCCTGCAGGGTTGGGGGGGCTTTGTTCTGATGGATGTGACCCCTAAGTCCCATCTCGCTTCGTGTGCATTTGAAGGCTGCTCTGTCCCCTTGTCTCAGGTTGGCACTCACCGGTTGTGCCTCTGTCATGCTGCCTGTTGGGTTGGTGACACCTTCGACCTTGCGAGTTTCTTGCAAGCTTTGTTCCTTATTCATACTCCAGTTCACCCAGTTTGATGATCATGATATGTGGGTGTAGGCAGCTTTGGTGTTTCATGCTCAGTTTAGGTTGCTGCAACCCGCCAGGTTGATTGCTACCCCGATTGCCCTGAGATTGCCCCGTTTTGGTTATAGGGACCCGGACTTGGGGGTGCTGGTCGCTTCGCCCTTGGTTAAGTCTGCGCCCCCCTTGTTCATCCTTTTCCTTTATTCATCCTGCTTCAGGGTGCAAAGAGACTGAGGTTTCGGAATTGGGGCAGGGGTTTAGTTGGTGTTGAGACTTGGAGCGGTTTCAGGGAATGCCCCTTCTGAGGTGGCGACAGAGGCATTCGAGCATGTTTCTCCAGCTCGGTGCTCCTGGGTCTGACCAGTGAGCCCCCCTTCGTTCCTGCTTTCTTGGCTGCTCCTGTCTTTTCTTTAGAGGGAGGGTGTTTGGAGGATGGCTCGGCCCCGGGTTCTCATGGAGAGGTTCCCAGGGTGGGGGAGGGGTTGACTTGTGGGCCTTGGGGCCCGTTGGACCCCGCTTGGGTTTTTTGTACCCTCCGTGTGGGACTTGTTGTTGCAAGGAGTGGGGTTTTCTGTTCCTCCTCATACGAGTTAGATTTGGTGTCCACCCCTCCCAGGGTTCAGTTTCATGTTTCCCTTGGGTTCGGTGGTCCCGTCTTCTGGAGGTTTTTGGCCTTCCATATCCCGCCTCTTGTGGTGCGGGAAGCCTTCGCGCCCCACCTCCTGTGCGTCCCGGATTACTCCTCCATAATGATTCCTCCTTCTTGTGCGTTGGTCTCAACGACATGTATCATCTGCTCTTTTGAAGCTGTTTGTGCAGATCCTGAGGGATGCGGTGTTGCTGTTTTTTGCCTCCCTTCTCATGTGTCGGCAGGCGGTGTTTGCTTCCTCTGTGGAATCCGCTTGGGCCCCTGGCTCTTAGGTTGCCTTTTTGTCCCTTGCTGTTAATTTGCAGAGTCTGCAGTGGTGCAGTATCTGCAGGCGGCTTCGTCCAGTTGTTGTCCCTTGTTGGTCTTCCTGGAGGGTCTTCCTTCCTTCATGGAGGGTCTTCCTTCCTTCATGGAGGGTCTTCCTGGAAGGGTCATGCCAGAACTCAGGGTTCTTCCTGTTGTGGTAGGCCAGTGGTGCCAGTTTTGGAGCCGGCGCAACCTTCGGAACCTTCTTCATCTGGTCGGCGCGGTGATTGCTCTGTGCTGAGGTTGGGTTCACATAAGGGACATTGGCCCATTTCGCGGTTCGTCCCATTGACGGGGCGATGGAGGGGAGGCTCACTCTGTTTGCTCACGCCTGGTCTCACGATTTGTGGGCCTTTTGGGTTGTTTCTTGCAGCAGCATTGGATGGTGCCTTCTCCTTTGGGGGATTCGGGGTTGATGGGGCGGGCTTTTTCTCTTGCACTCTGTCGAGGTCATCTCGGAGTTGGTTCGCTTGGGCGTGGTCAGCGTGGCCTCGTCCCTCTGGTGGTTTCCCGTCTCTTTTCGGTTTTGAAACGGGACTGTGCGGACCACAGGTTTATTCTGGACTTGTCCCGTCTAAACCTGTGGGTTTATTGCACCTCCTCTCAGATGACTACTTTGTCCTAGGGTTGTCTCCTCTTGGTGCCGGCTGTTGGTATGTCCTGATTTCTCCGGGGTTCAGGGGCTGGCTCGGTTTTGTTGTGGGGTGGCAGGGTTACCGCTTTTGTTGTCTCCCGTTCGGGTTGAACCTGGCACCTCGCGTGTGAACACGCCTTACATGGGTCGTTGTGGCCCATCTGCGTCTCTTAGGTGTTCGGGTGTTGGCCTACCTCGACGACTGGCTGGTTTGGGCTCCCAGCCGGGCCAGTTGTATTTGGTTCTTTCGCAGCTCGCCAGGTTCTGGTTTTTGGTGAACTGGAGGAAGTCCCATTTGGTTTCCCTCACAGGTTTGGACCTAGCTGGGTCTTGTGTGGGACTCTCGGACCGCTTCCTTGTCTCTCCCTCCAGAGTCTCTCCTGCGGCTGCGGTCCCGCTTGCTCCTGTTTCTGGGGGGCTCCCGGGTCACCCGGCGGTTGCTAGAGGATCTGTGTGGGAGCCTGAACTTCGCGATGGGAGCCGGTCGGCCAAGCGGACAGCACGCTGGACTTGTGATCCTGTGGTCCTGGGTTCGATCCCAGGCGCCGACGAGAAACAATGGGCAGAGTTTCTTTCACCCTGCCCCTGTTACCTAGCAGTAAAATAGGTACCTGGGTGTTAGTCAGCTGTCACGGGCTGCTTCCTGGGGGTGGAGGCTTGGTCGAGGACCGGGCCGCGGGGACACTAAAAAGCCCCGAAATCATCTCGAGATAACCTCAAGATAACCTCAAGATGATGGTCTACCCGCCAGGTCGGGTTTGGCCTCATCGGCTGTTGTAGTTCCTTCGGGGATGCCCCTTTCGCCTCTCAGGATCGCTGGGTTCGAACCCCAGGGGGCCTTGCATCGGCTGCTGCGTCGCCAGCTTTCTCTACGGGTTTTTCGGGGTTCAGTGCCTTGGTGCCTACCCGAGCCCCCGCTCGATGTGTTCATGGACGCGTCGTCTCTCGGCTGGGGTTTTGTGACCAGTGCTCACCAGGCTGGCCTGGGATGGTGGGGTCCGTCCTTTCGTCGAGTCCACAGCATGGTGCGGAAGTTCGCGGCAGTGTGGTTTGCTCTTCAGAGGGTTCGGGTCGCCCACGGATCAACGATTCGGCTCCATTCGGACTACTCCCCGGTGGTTCACTGTTTGAACCGGGGGGGGGGGGGGGATGCTGTCCTTGGCTCTTTGGCGCTGGTCGCTTCATGTGACTCGTCTGCTGAGTTCTCGGGGTTTGGCTCTCCTGGCAGTTCACGTGCAGGGCATGTCCAGCATCATGGCTGAAGGCTTATCCCGTTTCGTTTCCCTCTCGATGGAATGAACGGTCGACGCCGACTCCTTTAGTTGGCTTTGCCGGACGTTTGGTCGCCCTGAGGTGGACCTTTTTGCGTTGACGTGGTCGCGGCGTCTTTCCTTGTATGTGGCGCCCTTCCCCGACTACGAGGCCGTCGGGGTCGATGCCTTTCGGCAGAACTGGTCTTGAGGTTATCTTGAGATGATTTTGGAGCTTTAGTGTCCCTGCGGCCCGGTCCTCGATCAGGCCTCCACCCCCAGGAAGCAGCCCGTGACAGCTGACTAACACCTGGGTACCTATTTTACTGCTAGGTAACAGGGGCATAGGGTTAAAGAAACTCTGCCCATTGTTTCTCGCCGGCGCACGGAATCGAACCTGGGACCACAGGATCACAAGCCCAGCGTGCTGTCCGCTCGGCCGACAAACTCACTTGGTGAACTTGGTCAA